AGAATATTTAACTATTTTTTTTTTATCTCTGTGTCCTGGGCGATGGACCCCAGCTCAACCATGGACCTGATCAAATTACCAGCCGAAAATGTATTCGCACAGGTTGCATCCCAAATCAATGACTTCCCCATTTTAAAAGGGAAAATGGTAATGCCATCCGGCTGCTTTCCATCACCACAGTTGAGGCCTATGGGTTTGATTTGGGAAGGAAACCTGGCTGCATCCAAACCTCTTCTGATGATGTCGTTTATTGCTGCATGCCGTGGAAAGCGTCCGGCACTACGATGACAGGAGAGAGAATGCAAACCAAACTCATTGATGGAAGCTCCACAAAATTAATACTGTATTTCAATATCAAATCCAGGAAGTCTAGTTTAAGATAGTTTTCTAATTTTAGCATTTCCAAACTAAACAAATCTTGCAATTCACTGCAGGCCTCCTTTAGTTCCAGTAGAGTCTGGTATAAACTTTCTAGTTTGGCAAGATGAACAAATAGGAGAAAAAAACACTGTAAGAAATTAACTGGTCAATTAAAAATGCAAAGTGAACATTCCTTTAAAAAATCCTTTAATAAAACCACTAGATCAGCGGTGTCAAATTCATTTTAGTTCACAGGTCACATATCAACCCAATTTGATCTCAAGCAAACCAGACCAGTAAAATCATAGCATAAGAACCTATAAATAGCAATTTCAAAATTTTCATTTTGTTTTAGTGTAAAAAAGTACATTCTGAAAATGTTCATGTTTAAAGAAAATTTTTTTTTTTGCAAAACATTGAACAAGTTAAAGAAAGACTGCCTTGTAAATGTGTATGATTTATAAATTAAAAAGAAAAACATTTAAAAATGCTTTTATTATTTTTTATCATTTATTTTCAGTATGTTCCAGAAACTTGGCATTTTTTCCTTTGCAAGTGCATCAATATTAGGCATCAAATCCTGAGTAGCAGCCAATTTCAGGATGTCATTTAGGTGCATATGTGTGAGCCTTGAGCACAGCTTTGTCTTATTGATGCTCATTACAGAGAAAACTTGTTCACAAAAGTAGGTAGTCCTGAACATGCACAAAATTTCACAGAAAGGATTGTCAGTTTGGGATATTTTGGCAAGAGATACTGATAAAATGTGCCCAAGCCCATTGAGATAAATTTGTTCTTCAAATGTGAATCATTTCAAGTTGGAGGTTGACAGGCAGATCAGATGTGTTGACTCTAAACGGCAAGTGAAAACCTGTGAAATCTGTTTCAAGTCTATCAAAAATCTGAAACTGTTACTTAAACTCTTGCAGCAATCCTGTGATATTGTTTTTGTACTGATTCATGTCAACATTATCTGCGTTCTCAACCACATCTTTTAGACAAGAAAAATGAGCAGGGTCACCACCTGAGAGTTGTGTCTCCCACAAAGTTAGCTTTGACTTGAAAGTGTGTATGCTTTCAAAATACTATGTGACAACATTTTTACAGCCTTTTGTTCAGGTTATTCAAGTGCTCTGTAATATCCATGATAAATACTAAATCTTGCAGCCATTCTGATGATTGAAATTCTAACATTGGTTAGCCCTTTTTCTCAATGAACTGTTCAGTTTCTTCTCATAGATTAAAGAAACACTTCAACACAGCACCTTGGCTTAACCACCTTACTTCAGTGTGATATAGCAAACCATAAGTAATGCCTATATTAGTGAGAAAATTGTCAAACTGATGGTGATTCAGACCTCTAGTTCGGATGAAATTAACAATTTCGACAATCACTTCCATGACATGATCCATTTTTAACAACTTACAACACAATGCCTCCTGGTGCAATATGCAGTGAAATATCCAAAAATCACATCCTGATGGAGCACCATCTGTAGCCATGCACAGGCCCAGTCCACTCCAACCCTGTCCAGCACTCCCATGAGAGAGATGAAAATGTTGTGGTATCCATCATAGGAACCAACACTAGGAACTCCTTGGTGACAGTCAGTCTCATCTACACAATAAATGAATATGGCCAGTTGCACAACATCCATAATGTCCATGCTCTCATCAATTGCAACTGAAAATGCAATAAATGACTTGACTTTGTGCTTCATTTGCCTATCCAAATTTACAGAAAAATCTGAAATCCTATGTGCCACAGTGTTTCTTGTCAGGCTAATGTTGACAAAAATCTGTTTCTTCTCAGGGCATACAATTTCTGCAGCCTTCAGTTTTCCCTAAACTTACCCTCACAGTATGGCTTTGATGCTAATGCTATTTCTCTAGCAACAAGGTAGCTAGCTTTTACTGCTTCCTGACTGATATCTCGGCTTTGGATTAGATCCACTATCAATTTATTTACCTTCTCTCTTCTCATTTGTCCCTGCAAGTTATTGTATATGTTGGCATGATGAGTCTCATACTGGCATCAAATGTTATATTCTTTCAGCACTGAAACCTGCTGTGAACACACCAAGCACACAGGTTTCCCATTCACCTCCATGAATAAATAAGAAAAAGACCACTTTTCTTGAAATGATCTACACTCTGTATCCACTTTTCTCCTTTTTGATAAAAACATTTTGGGTAAGGTAAAACAGAGCGAAATGTTGACCTAAAAAACACTTTGTTAGTCATTGAATTAATTTTAAAAAAAGTAAATAAATTATATAATTTTTACATTTTTCAAAGTCATATTGTGGGCTGGATGAAACCCTTATGTTTAACACCCCTGCACTAGATGATGTCAGCTTTAAACATTTTTTAACTGCTTCAGTTATCATTCAATTAATGTTGGTGATAGAAAGCCAGCCTCTTTAATATCTCCAAATGAAGAAATCGGATAATGTATTGTTACTCTTCTTCTTCTTACATAAATTCATTACAAGCTGATTGACTTGAAGTTCATGTAAAAATAGACAAGACAAAATGGAATGGGCTTTTTAAGAGTAATTTCTTAACTCGACTGAGCACCAGGGATCTGTCTCCTCTAAAAAACAATACTTCCCCCATATTTCGAAGTAAGGATCGGATTGAGGTATTTATTACCTGGTGGTTGTCACTGAAGTCCTCATTAACGTGCTTTACATAGGATAAGAATAAAAATGCGTAAGGTGATCTTCTGTCGCATTTGTTTACTTTAGTTTAAGTTATCAAAAATCTATGATTTTCCATGCGCTTTCAACTTACGAAAATTGAAAAAAATGTTACATTTAAAAATATCAAAAATCTGTTATTTTTTTATAGCTTGGAAATTAAGAATCTTTTTTTGGATGTTTAGATGATTTTTATTTCGCTTTTTTCTGTCGAAGATAAAGGACCGTGACGGTGATGTGTACACTGAAAAATAAACGCGCTGGCACCCACAAAGATTTCGTCCACATGAAAGAACGGTTTTTAAATTGATTTTTGACACAATGCTCGCCGTTTATATTTTAACTCGAACTGATAACTGCAACTAAACCATAAATTATATACTACTATGTTTAGTTGTAGTTTGTAATTATTTGCTTCGCTTCAAAAGAAATTATTTAGAGACACAAAAAAATATTCATGCAGTTATTTTTAAGCTCGTTCTATGAACGAAATTGTAAATAATTATCATTTTTTATTTTAATCATTTTCTAGCGATTTTTCAAGATCATTTCGTTTGTAAAGTTGATTGGATTCAATCTGGGTATTCTTAAAATAACAAAAAAAACGTCACACTGAAAAAGAATCCTAAACGTTTCCCGGGAGTAAAAGCGTGATATGTACATCTGTTTTACTTTTAAGTTGCGAGCCGGTGAAATAATTCAGTAGTTCCTCTTTATTTTCTTTCTATCATCGCCAACCAACAGCGCGTCTTCAAGAAGAATGCAATGAGAAATGCGTGAACTGATAATTGCTACTTTTTCTAATTTGTTCTTAGCAATATCATCTTTGAAATATTTCTTGTGTGAAAAGGAAGAGAAATGACTAATTTGACAATCAAATTAAGATGAGGTGGTTTTTCTTGGGTGACACCGCTTATCATGTAAGTGTCTGGATGTTTTGTTCATTTCTTTAAAATACTTTTCGAAATATGTACAAAATTATAAATTAACGTCATAAGAATAATTCAACTGATTTTTGAAAAATGTTGCTATCTGAACTTAAATAGACACGGTTTTCTATCAAAATGAAACTTACAGAGCAATAAATGAAAAAAAAACATTACTTTTTCTTTTCTACTACATAACTAAAAAAAAATGTTTTGTTTGTTATCTAAAACAAAAAATCAATTTTGATTTATATATTTTACGGTTTGATTCACTTTTTTCAGTATGTAAAAAACACTTGCTTTTTAAAAGACAATAATAAAAAATGAAACTGAAGTATAGTTAATTCCGCATGTGTAACTTTTTTGGCCGTTTCTTTTTTTTTTTTCTTTCGTCTTTAATAAAAAAGTCTTTGATGTGTTTGTATTTTAAACGTTACTCTACTAATAAAAAGTAATAAACGCTACACATGAACTAATTTTAACGTATTTTAAAACCTTTTTTTAAATTCTTTTCTAGGGTTCATATTTTTAAATAAAATATCCAGTAACTTTTTCATAATTCTGCCACTTAGTTGTTGAGTCCTTTCTTAAGTTTTTTATTTTAAAAAAAGGCAATTCTAATTTTTTTAAATTCACTTAGAAAATGAACAGCTATGCAATTTAAGTTAAAATTTTTATTATATTTTATTTTTATTATAAAAACAAGGTTTAAAAAAACTAGATGAGTGTTGACTTGACTCTGTTGAAAATAACTAAGTAACTATAGTATAACCATTGTTTGTAACCTTTTCAATAAATTTCATTGTCTTGTTCTTCATGTTTATCTGATATCTTTTTTCTTTTCCTATCGTTTAGTTCCGAAATCTTTAATACGTAACTGCGCCTGAAAAAAGTAGAGTACCACTACCATTCGTAAAGTCGGCCTGAAAATCGGCGCGTGTCTCCGTCGGCCCAAGGTGGGAACTTCCGCTTAGCAAACACACACACATTCCTTGTGGCCCGAGAAGAAACAATGCCGAACAAGAAAAAAAAGTATAATGCCAGGTTCCCGCCGGCTCGGATAAAAAAAATCATGCAAACAGATGAAGATGTGGGTAAAGTAGCGGCCGCTGTTCCTGTTATAATTTCTCGGGCCCTCGAGCTATTCATCGAGTCTCTGATCATGAAAGCCAGTCAAACAACCCAAACCCGACACGCTAAGACCCTCACTACAGCACACATAAAACAGACAATCGAAGCAGAGAAAAAGTTCGATTTTTTACGTGATTTGGTCGTCAATATTGCAGACCACCAAACAGAAGAGGAATCTGAAGGAAATGGCCCGGCTTCGAACTTGACTGAAACTGGCAGGAAATTCGGGCGAATTGTTGGTAGTCGTGGACCTCGAAAGAGAAAAGATTCTGTAACAAGTCCCGCTTCTGATAATATTCGACGTTCGAAACAGGAAGAGGATAACAATAATGAAGAGACAGATGAGGCAGAAAGCGAAGAAGAACAAGACCAAGATCAAAATCAGACTGAAGAAGCAACCACATCTTCCTGTTTAAGGGGTGACGAGGAAAGTCCCGTCCCCAGTAGCAATGGTTTCCCACCAACATCAGTACCTCCCGGATGTCATTCCTTAGGCCAACTGTCCTCCCAATTCAAAGTCCCGGCCCTATTTTCCACAACTCCTTTATCTAGATTGTTTTTACCGCCTGGACAAATTCAAGGACAGCAAGAAGACGATGATTACGATACATGAGACGTACAATCTGGGACACCATTCGTCCCTTATGTTTGTCTATCTTTAATGTCGTCGTCTTTAGATCATCAGATTTGTTATACTCCATTTGTCTAGTGTGATGGCTCGGTTTGTGTCCGGATACATTTACACAACACCAAGCCATGCATTTTACGCTTTCTTCGAGAGCCTGTCATTGTCTTCATCAGTATTGTCATTGTTGGGGGAGGGAAAGTACGGGGGGATTATGGGAACCATGCTCCATCTATGGCGTGTTTACATCATCCTTATACCTTTTTCAAGCGCCAATGAAAAAACCACCGCCTTGATTTCAGAACATTTCTACCTGATATTATTTAAAACACCTGTATTTTCAATGTGACAAAAAAATATAAACGAAATAATGCGAAAATGTTTACCGCGTGGATAGGAACTGAACCTTCAATCGAAGATTTAAAAGGTGTCAACACTCCACTCAGCAACAAGAGACCAGGGTTACTGGACCCAGTGTCGTTTTAAGGTAGCTTTGATGGATTTTACATCAAAAGTTTAATTTGTTTTATTCGCCCTTTGATTTTTTTTTTCACTCTTTTTCTAAGTGATTCCCCCACCCCCATTATTCATCAAGGCTATGGTGGCATTATCAAGTGTGCCTAAAAAGACGGATTTGTTACTATTGGGAAGTTTAAAAAAAAAAAAAAGAAGAGAAACTTGTTAAGAAGTTACGTTCCTTTTTTATCACCACTTCATGGATTTGCAGTTGTATTTCATGGAATTGTTATGTAAACTTGGATAATTTAACCATATCCTAAAAATGGTCACATTTTTTTTTTTTTTTTTTTAGAGGTTTGGCCTTCCCCTCCTATAGCAAGGGAAAAAAATAAAATTATAAATGAATAAAAGTAAAAGTCAGACAGTAAAACAAACCTGGATAACTTTTTTTTTTTTCACAAAAAGGACACTTTTTTTGGGGATCCATTATTTTGTTCATCACACATACAAGGACATATTTCTTACCTTCATAGTATTTATATTGGGAAATTCTTAGCAAAAATATACAACAAATACAAAAAACAAACAAATTTTGTGTGTGGTCTTTTTTTATTTTTAATCTTCACATTTGGTTGCATAGTTGGATATATGTACGTTCCACTTTTCCTCTTTCTGAACTTTTTTTTTAAATTCAATTTACATACTTACGTTTTTACTTTTTATTATTATTTTTTAATTTTCTGAATACCTTCATCAATCAAATGAAATGTGTATTTCCAGTTAGACTAATTTTCTCTTGTGATTGTTTTAAAAGTTAAAAAATACAAAACTTTTTTAGTGTCAACCAATAATCACATTTCTCATAAAAATTTTCAAATCAATTTTATAATAAAAAGAATTGATTTGAAATTTCTTAACATGAAAATATTCTTGTATCTCTTATAATTCCGCATCTTGCTTAATTTTATTTTACTTTTTATTAACACCCATCATTAAACTTTGTTTTTGTTTACTTTAAGATCCCATGGCTGCATACTTAGTTATGCACTTGAATTTGTTCATTAGGATGACATCTGATGAATAACTATTTTCAAAAATACATTGTGAAAAGAATGTTTCAAATACAATATTATTTCTTTTATGTAACATCAGAATTTTAAAAGTAGTTCGTATGTAAAATCTTGTTTTAGTTTTTTTATTTTTTGTACAGTTGCTATTTTCTTTTACCTAAATTATTTGCTCTCTAAATCATTTATGCTGCTGAATATTTTCCGAAATATTTTGTTCCTTAATTTCACCCTTTAAGGCTTACTCTATTCATTTTTTTGTAATGATCAGATTTTTGTCATGTTTCTGCCACTTCAAAAAGTTATCCTTGCTGTTTGAAATAAGAAAAAAGTATCTGTCCACTGACAGACAATACCAGTCCCTTAGATATTCTTTTTAACTATTTTTAGTGTGTTTTTACTGGAATTGATTTCTATTGCTGGGTCTTCATTGAGTGCTGTCCATAGCTAAAATATTTTTTCTTCAAAATTCGTTAAAAGCTAACAAACCTCTCAAACCCAAATGATAACCCACCAAGAGCCTATACTGATATGAATTCTTCTATATAGCAATAAGGATGTAAAGCATTTGGACAGAATAAGATTTGTGAAAATTTATCTTTTTGAAAAATTCTCTTTAGCCACTATTAATGAGGCCATTATCTGTAGTTAACTTTCACAATATTTTGTGAGGTTACAAGCAGGAAATGAATTTATTACTGACTTTGTTTAACACTGACAAAGTTTTTCCCTATTGTCTTTTTACCAGAAAAAATTTCTGATAAGTCTTCAAATTTTATACTAACTAAAATTTGAACATTCTGAAAAAAAATGAAGGAAAAGTTTGTATAATAACCTTCAATCAAACGCACACATTAGCTATTTTGTTGTTTAAGTGTCTACATTTTATTTAGGTATTGAACATGATTTTCCCCTGCTACAATCTCTTTAAAATATAAGTGATTAATGACAATAGGTATTATTGGCATTATCACCTTGTCTTAACTTAGTTTCATTATTATTTAATTTCCATCTTAAATTATCAGGTGTAAGCACTACTTTATTTGAAAATGTCATTAAAACATTTCTTCCTGCATTCACTTGTTTTTGGAATATTCTGATCAATCTAAAACTTTGAAATAAAAGAAAAATATCCACTTAGGCTAAATCGGGACTCTAACCTGTTTTGAGATCTAATTTTTGTATGGGTGAAGCATTAATTTATAATTCTCAGAAATTGTTCAGTTTCTTTTATACCTGAATTATAAGGTGGTTTCTAAACAAAATCACATGACATTCACTTTATATCACAAACGTTTTTTTTTTTTTTTATCAGTGGTAGCTTTGTGTCATACACATGGAGAAGAGAATGATAAATTATAGATTTTATGAGTACCATAAAAACTTCTCTTTGGCATTTTATTGAATTTGTTTTACTTCAGTTACTGTGTTTCATCATTATATGCAGGACAAAATCTTGAATAACAGGAAATTCATGAAGGTTATGAGGAACAACTTTAAATTGGAGTTTTATTCCCCTGCCCTTGTACATTTATTCAAGTGTGTGTGAGTGCACATTGGTTTATTATAAGATCAAAGGGAAATGATTTAATCACTTGAAAAGTAACTGAATCTGATCAACAGTGACTAATTCAGCTATTTCTCTTTTATATTTGATTCTCTTCACAAATTTTAAAAATTTTTAGCTATAAAATATTCAAAGGAAACTACTTTTTTAATATCTTTGAACTTAGTTCAGAGTCACTGAAATTTGGACACAGTACCTAACACAGAATCAACCATCAACTTTATTCCTTTATTATTATTATTTTGTATTATATATGATATAAAAGATAATTATATAGAAATTGTTTTACACAAAATTACTTCCATATTTATTGAACTTTGCTTAGACAGCAACTGCTAATCATAGAGCACTCGGTGAGGATTCAACTGACAACATGAGTGAATAGTTTGCAAAATTACCTGATTAGTCATTGCTCTACAGCAGGCACCCTAAACAGATTTCAATGTGTGATTTGTAACTTGTTTCACCACCACCATTTTTTTTAACCATCATATCCATCTACTCTTGTCTAAAAGTTCAGGTTAAAATAGTTTTCACTCAAACCTGTTCATTGCTAAAATTTAGTATGTGTGCACTTTTTTCTTAAAAAAATATAAACAAAAATATGTTCATTTGAATCTGAACTATTCAGAAAAAGGTTCCTTTTAAATCCATGAAATATTTAAGATTCAGCAAAAATGTTATAATAATGAAAATTACCCAGAAAAAAATATCAGTTTTATGAGCAAGCAGAAAAATGTTAACATACTTCTAATTTGTCCCTGTAAAAACAAAAAAAAATATTTGTGTATGTTGCTCTCTTAGATACTAATGTTTCTTTTTTATTAGCTTTGCTGAAAAAACAAATTTCAAGTTGAATCTTGATACAGTAATAATTTGAGTTTTTATATTTTGGTTTGGGCCATTCATATTTTAAAGTCATTCAAGGATATAAACAAGCTAAAGCTTTCTAAATTGTTGAATCATTCAAATTTATGATGCTAACCTATAAATTAAGAATCTTATTAAAGTAAACTTTGAAAAGAATAGTGGCATTAGAAATGTGTGGTAAAATGTGAGTAAAGAGGCCATCTTAAATAGAGAGCATCATATTAATAGTAACTGAGGGACAAAAATAGAATTGTATAACCATTGCAAGGTTTTAGATTGATATTTACAGCAATATGTTTATTTGGTCAACCAGAAGAAATGGTGTTAATCACAGCAAATACCAGTATATCAAATGATGATTTTTCAAAGCACCAGACATGCTCTCCCCAATTGGAAGATTGGTGGAACACACTTTCTGTCTTCATTTTCTACTAATGCCTTACTAAGTTAATATCTATAACAGTATACATATTGTTAGTTTTGTAAGTGATTATATGATTTATCCGTATTGGATTTTGGAAGTTCTAATGTGAAAGACTTGACTTCCATTAAGTTAGATTACTACTTTTTCATTTAAAATCAAAGGTTTTAGTAACCTCATGTATTAAGCTTATATGTTCTTGAATTAAGGACAAGGCATTATCCAGTTTAATTACTAGCATTTAACATTGTCCTAATTTATTACATGTTGTGATTTACTTTTTAAATTGAATGTCTCCCAATAATTTTTAATTATTGGATGTAGATATTTTAACCAGAAATTTCAGATCTTTTTAATACCCGACTCTCCAATAAATATCTCATGAACAAGGGAGTGTGGAAATGTTCTTGGCCCAACCCATTTCATAAAATTCGACCAAACGTTTAGAATTTTCTTTGATATTTTTTTTTTTTTTTATTATTAATCACTTCTCGATGGATCTGAAGATTTTTCAGTGGCTCGTCATATAAACATGCATTTTTTGTATAATTCCAGATGCGAAACTAGATATCTCAAGTAGTTAAATTATTAATGGTAACTTTGC